ACATCCTTACCAGCATCTGTTGTTTTTGTTATTAATGATGGCTATCCTGACTGGAGTTAGGTGGCATCTAAGTGTGGTTTTGATTTGCATTTCTTTGATGATTAGAGTGGCTGAGCATTTTTTTTCATGTATCTGTTGCTGCTTGTATGTCCTCTTTTGATAAGTGTCTATTCATATCTTTTTAATGGGGCAGTTTGCTTTTTTCCTTTCAGCATATTTGAGTTCCTTGTAGATTCTGGATGTAAGACTTTGTCAGATTTACAGTTGACAAATATTTATTCCCATTCTGTGGGCTGTCTCCCCACTTTCTTGATGGACTCTTTTGCTTTGTAGAAGCTGTTCAGTTTAATGAGGTCCCATTTATCTATTTTATCTCTTATGGCATGGGCTTCTGGAGTTTTGATCAGGAATTGGTTGCCTATTCCAATTTCTGTGAGGTTGTCTCTTGCGTTTTCTAAGATTCTTATAGTTGGAGTTTTCACGTTTAGGTTTTTGATCCATTTAGAGTTGATTTTTGTGTATGGTGATAGGTAGAGGTCCTGTTTCTTTTCTTTTCTTTTTTTTTTTTTTGAGTTGGAGTCTCACTCTGTCGCCCAGACTGGAGTGCAGTGCCCGCTCCTGGCCACCGCAGCCTCGACCTGCTGGGCTCTGGCGATCCTTCCACCTCAGCCTTCCAAGTAGCTGGAACTACAGATGCGTGCTACCACACCTGGCTAATTTTTTTGATTTATTGTAGAGATGAGGTCTCACCAAGTTGCCCAGGCAGGTCTTGAACCCACAGGCTCAAGCAATTCACTCATCTCAGCCTCCCAAGGCACGGGATTACAGGCTGAGCCACCGAGCCCGGCGGGGTCCTGTTTCAATCTTCTGCATGTGGTCAGTCAGTTTTTCCAGCACCATTTACTGAATAGGTTCTTCTCTCCCCAGTGGTTGCTGGTGGAGGCTTTGTGAAAGATGAGTTGGTTGAGAAATTGAGATTTTGCTTCCGGAATCTCTATTCTGTTCCATTGGTCTATATCCTTGTTCTTGTACCAATACCAGGCTGTTTTGATTATTGTAGCCTTATAGTAAAGTTTAAATTCTGGAAGTGTGATACCTGCTTTGTTTCTTTTGCTGAGGATTGTTTTGGCTATTTATGTTTTCATATGAATTTCTGTATTGTCATTTCCTGGTCTGAGAAGAATGATGTTGGTAATTTAATGGGTATTGTGTTGAATCTGTATTGTTAGGATGGACATCTTAACTGTGGATTCTTCCAATCTATGAACATGGAATATTTTTTCATTTGTTTGTGTCTTCTTTGATTTCTTTGAGTAGTGTTTTGTAGTTTTCATTTAAATGTCCTACACTTCTCTGGTTAGGAAAATGCCAAGGCATTTCATTATTATTATTATTATTGTTATGGCTATTGTGAAAGGGATTGTGCTTTTCATTTGGTTCTCTGCCTCTTTGTTGTTGGTGTATAAGAATGAGACTGTCAGCCGGGCTTGGTGGCTCAGCCTGTAATCCCGCGCTTCGGGAGGCTGAGGTGAGTGGATTGCCTGAGCCCGCGGGTTCAAGACCCACCTGGGCAACTTGGTGAGACCTCATCTCCACAATAAATCAAAAAAAAATCAGCCGGGCGTGGTAGCGTGTGCCTGAAATTCCAGCTACTCAGAAGGTTGAGGTGGAAGGATCGCCAGAGCCCAGCAGGTCGAGGTTGCGGTGGCCGGGAGCGGCCACTGCACTCCAGTCTGGGCGACAGAGTGAGACTCCAACTCAAAAAAAAAAAAAAAAGAATGCGACTGTCTTTTGCACATTTATTGTGTACCCTGAGACTTTGCCAAAGTACTTTATCAATGTAAGGAAGTTTTTGAAAGATTCTCTTAGGTTTTCAAGGTATAGGACTATATCATCCACAAAGAGGGATAACTTGACTTCCCTTTTCCTATTTGGACACCCCTAATTTCCTTCTCTTGTCTGATTGCTCTAGTTAGGACTTCCAGCACTATGTGGAACAGGAGGGGTGACAGTGGGCAGCTTTGTCTTGTTCCAGTTTTCAGGGGAAAAGCTTCCAATTTCTGTCCATTGAGCAATATGTTGGCTGTGGGGTTATTGTGATGACTCTACTATTTTGAGGTATGTTCCCTCTATGCCTAAGTTTTCAAGGGTTTTTATCAAGAAAGGATATTGGATTTTATAAAAAGTGTTCTCTACATCTAATGATATAATCATGAGGTTCTTGTTTTTATACCTGTGGATGTGTTTAATTACATTTATGGTCTTGTGGGGGTTGAACCAGCTCTGCAACCCAGGGATGAAGCCTACTTGATGATGGTGGATGATTTTTGAGATGTATTGTTAGATCTGATTTGCTAGAATCTCATTGAGAATTTTTGCATCTGTGTTCATCAGGAAAATTGGCCCGTAGGACCAGCAGGACTAGGTGAGGGGGCATGGGTGCCGCAGTGAATGCTGGGCAGAGTGCTGTGATCTAGGCTCAGTGCCAGGGCTCAGGACAGGGTCCCCAGAGTTCCTGCAACCATCCCTGGTGGGCACTATTTGAGCTCATCTACTGGAAGGCCAGCTGCAGGTTCCTGGACCCACAGCCGGGGCCTGAGAGCGCATGTGCCTGGGGTCTTGAGCAGCCCAGTGAGGGCAGGCAGTGGGTGTCTTCTCCCTGGCTTAAGGGCCATGGTCAAGCAGGCCATCAGAGGAGGTGGGCTACAGGCTCCTTTTACTTCTGTGGAGAAAGAGGGGTGTGCAGTACAGGGGGCGCTGAAGGAGGATGTGGGTTTCCAAATGCAGACCCGAGTCTGCCCCGATGAGCTCAGGCAGGTTTATGCCCCTCTCCAAGCCTGGACCCCATCTGAGGATGAGGGACTCAGATGTCAAGGCTGATAGGCCAAGGGTGAGCAGGGCTTGGCCCCCTAGAGGCTTGTGTTAGAGGAACTTGGGAGAGCATGATCTCAGTGGCTATCGCCACACTTAGATGATGGCTGTGCAGTTGAAGTCATTTTGAAGTTTCAGGTTGCTGTCATGGAGGACATTTTGTTGTTTGCTGGGAGGCACCTGGTCAGGAGAGATTGAGAAAGTCTTGCTCAATGCCAGGGTTCCTTCCATGGAGCACTGACCTTAGGCACTTCTGGAGGCCGGGGTAAGAGGGGCACTGTCCTGTCATTTCGGCATCAGCTGTGAAGGGGGCTGGAGGCGGGGATAGGAGGCTCTGCCCCGTGGCCTGCCTCTTCTTCCCTGCCCTGGGAAGCGAGCAAGAATCAGAACCAGTCCCCACCCTGCCACTTCAGGCCATGTGACACTGGGTGTGGACTGCCTCTCCAACCCTCCCCTGTGGAAAGAAGGGCTCGCCTGCCTCGTGACCTTGAGAGACCAGAGCCTGGCGCTCAGGCAGGTGCACAATGTGGTGGTGAGGACCTGGGCTCACATCTGGTTCTGTGCTCACCCCTGTGGGCCCCAGTTTACCGCATGATGGAGAGTTCAGTGAGCAGAAACTCCACGCATGCAGACAGATGCCACATGACACTGGAAGACACCAGCCTGCACTGCCCAGCACTTTGGTGTCCCATGGTATTGTTTATTTGTGCACTGGGTGGCTACCCCCCGCCCCCACCACTTATTTACCACTTATTCAGTGTTTTATTTATTTATTTTTCTGAGTTGAGGTCTCTATCACCCAGGCTAGAGAGCAGGGGTACAATCACAGCTCATCACAGCCTTCACCTCCTGGGCTTAAGCGATCCTTCCGCCTCAGCTTCCCGAGTAGCTGGGACTACAGGTGTGCACCGCCATGCCTTCTTCATAGTCTGAATTTTTTGTAGAGATGAGGTCTTGCTATGTTGCCCAGGCTGGTTTCGAACTCCTGGGCTTGAGTAATCCTCCCACCCCAGTCTCCTGAAGTGCTGGGATTATAGACGTGAGCCACAGTGCCTGACCACAGCAGGTGTGTCTGAGTCCGGATTCATGTCCTCGGCACTGGGTTGGTCTCAAGTAAAAACAGGAGGGCTTGTTCTTAAGGAGCTTGCCATGGGCCCTATAAGGCTTGTGTGCACTGCAGCCTTTGTGTGCTGCCCACTGAGTCGAGCACTGCCCATCCAGTCATGAGCCCTGTGGCAACAGGCAGGGGCCTGTCTCCCAACTCTAGCTCTGACTTTGGTGCAGGGCCTGTGACTTCACATGGCTCAGTCCTCACAGAGGCCTGTGTGGCCCGCACCATTCCTCTTGAGAATGATGAGGCTGGCATAAGGGGTGGGGCGCAGAAAGCCCCAAATCTCATGCTCCTCACCCAGGTCGGTCATCCACTGACTTGTCCATGTTGGTTAGGCACCTGCTTCCTGCCAGTGGCTCTGTTATGCACAGGGAACACGGCGATAGCCTCCACGGGCACAGTATCTGCCCTCATGGAAGGTGGGAAGTCGGGGGGAGGGATGGACACACAGCTGAGGTCCTGGGAGGTGGGACATGGAGCAAGCCCTGGAATGGGGACGGTGTGACAGACACAGGAGGGGAAGGGCACCCTCCACCCAACTCACTGCCCAGCTGAGGGCCATGCCCATTGGGGGGTGTTTCCCAAAGAGTGTCCTGAGTGTGTGACCAGGGAATATTGATAAGGCATGTGGAGAAGCAGGGTCCCATGTTCAAGTAGCTTGGGAAAGTGTTGGATCCCATTTTTTTCCTTCCCTCTCTCCCTCCCTCCCTCTCTCCCTCCTTCCCTTCTTTCCTTTTTCTTTCTTTTTTTTTGCATGGGGTCCCCACTCTGTCCCACAGGCTGGAGTACAGTGGCACTACACAGCTCACTACAGCCTCAACCTCCTGGGCTCAGTAGATCCTCCTGCTTCAGCTTGCTAAGTAGTTGGGACTACAGGTGCACACCACCACGCCCGACTCATTTTTTGTAGACAGTTCTTGCTATGTTAACCAGTCTAGTCTTGAACTCCTGGGCTCAAGCAGTCTTCTTGCCATTGTCTCCCAAAGTGCTGAAATTACAGGTGTAAGCCACCATACCCAGTCCTGGATCCAAGTTTCCTACACAGGATGGTGTGTGGCGGTTAGAAGATGCTGTGCCAAGATTTTGTTGACCAGGTGAGTTATAAGGCAAAGCTTCTGCACCCCAGAGCTTCCAACTGTGATTCTGTATACCTGGGTGGGGCTGGGGACTGGGATAGGTTGTAGCCTGCAGCACATTCTGAACTTATTGGTCTTAGAGCATCTTGGGGCAGGTGTGCTCCAGGCCATCCTTAGAGAAGTGTATGTGATGTGTGCCTGTGTGTGTCTCTGTGTGTATTTCTGCATGTGTTTTATGCACGTGTCTCTGTGTGCATGTTTTGTGTGTCTGTATACATGTGTATGTATGTATATGTAAATGTATCTGTATGTGTGCATGTAGGTATGCATATGTATGTGTCTCTGTGTCTCTGTGTGCATGCATGTGTTGTGTTTGTGTGCATGTCTATATATATGTGTCTCTGTGCATGAGTCTGAGTGTAGCAGTGCATTGTGTAAGCATGCCTGTGTGTGCATGTGTTGTGTTTGCATGTGTTTGTATGTCTGTGTATATGTGTCTCTGTGTGCATGTGTATGTATGTGTATGCATGTGTCTCTGTGTATGAGTGCAAGTGTGTATGCATGTGTCTCTGTGTGCACATTTTGTGTGTGTGTATGTGTATGTGTGTGTATGCATGTATCTGTGTCTGTGTAAGTATATTTGTATGTCTGTGTGTGCACATATGTGTGTCTGTGTATGAGTACATGTGTGTGTGTCTGTGCATGTACTTTGTATTTGTGTGCATGTATGTGCCTTTGTGTATGTTTGTGCGTATGTCTTTGTGTTCTGAGTCTAATGCCAGTGCCGACACTGGTCTGTGCCCCATGGATACATGTGACATAGGTTGGCCACTGGTCATGAAAGCATAGAAACTGGATGGACAAAGTCATCTGGCCTGGTGGGAGCTCTGCTGGGGGATTTGGGTCAGGAGCTGATATGTTTGGTCACAAATAGGATTTTTAAAAAAGGGAAATGGATACTTGGATGAAAAGATGATTCATAGAATCTTTTTTACCGACTCCCAGGTTCCTTACTCCTCTCCTTCATTATCCTTGTAAATACGCAGTAAACATACAAGAGGGTTTCAAGTTTATTGAATGGAGGTGTGCCTGCATGCTGTTCTGCCACTTGCCTACTAATCTATCAATTCATTGATCTAGCAATTCGCTGATTAGCGTGTATGTCATCAACATCATCATCTATGTATCCATCAATCATCTATCAGTCATTTGTCGTCCTCTATCATTTATCTATTTATATTGCCTGTCAAGTGTCTATCATCTGTATATCGATATCTATTTCATTGATATGTCTATTCATCATCAATATTTTACCTGTTGTCTATTTATCATCTATAAATGCATGTATCTATGTATCATCATCATAATCTGTTATCTATTTACTTAACTAGATAATATGTATTTAACTATCATCATCTACCTAGGTATATACACTTGTCATCTATCTATCTACATGTCTATCTCTTCATCATCTAAAATCTATTTATGGACTGTGTGTCTGTCATCTATGATCATCTTCTTTAGCTATCATCTACCTATGTCCTGAATATTTGTCTGTCCATCTAGCCATCTATTTCCTACCTAATCTCTCTTCATTTATTTATCCATCTACCTCATCTGTCTGTCATCTACTTATGTACCATATTTATCTGATCTGTTGTTACCTGTCTTTAGCCATCATCTACCTATGTACTACATATCTGTCATCTATCTTCTTCTATCTTCTATCTTCATTTTTCTATCCATCTACCTCATTGGTCTGTCATCTACTGATGTACCATGCCTATCTGCCATCATCTATCTTTAGTTATCATCTATATGTATCTATGTAATCTATCTTCATTTATCTACCCATATACCTCATCTGTCTTTCATCTGTTTATGTACTATGTCTATCTGTCATCATCTATCTTTAGTCACCATCCATCAATCAATAGATCTCTATCTATCTTCATTTATCTATCCATCTACCTCATCTGTCTGCCATCTATTTATGTACTGTGTTTATCTTCATCTGTCTTTAGCTATCATCCCTTTATCTATCAATTCTTCATCTGTCTATAATTGTTCCAGAGAGGCCTGTGTACACGTGCCTTATTTGGAGAGAGACTTTCCAAACATTCCAGTGTGTGGATACAACATTCTGCTTAATTCTTGACAGATGTACAGAATGCTCCAATCTCAAGCAGTGCATTCAAGTTTTTCCAAGGGCTGTGTTTGCATAATTGTGAACAGGTAAGGAGTTGAAATGGGAGGAAGATGAGAAGTCAGCAGCCTAGTAGGGCCTTTGGGAAGGTCTTATGGAAGGAAGACTGAGGTGATGGAAGCTTGAAGAAGTGACCTCACTTTCTTGGTGACAGACCCCCAACAGAACTTAGAACCTGGTAACCAGGCACCACATTCTAGACATAGCCCCATATCCAGTTCACTTGGCAGGAGATACTCAAGATAGTATGAAGTTTTTCTGCTGTATTCTGATTTTCTGAGGCTCTCACTTCAGCTAGGCCTGAAGTGATACACATGTTGGCTCAGTCATCTTTTCCAACACCTCTGGCCATTTGGGCCATTCAGTCAGCTGGGTATAGGGAAGGGTCCAAGGGTTGCCACTGGGGTGCAGAATGAAAGTTATGACAGCCTGGAGGGAGACAGGGAAAGGTGCCTTTGAAAGAGCAAGGGCCAGCTGGGCTCGGTGGCTCAGCCTGTAATCCCGCACTTTTGGGAAGCTGAGGTGAGTGGATTGCCTGAGCCCGCGGGTTCGAGACCCACCTGGGCGGCAAGACCTCATCTCTACAATAAATCAAAAAATCAGCTGGGCATGGTAGCGCATGCCTGTAATTCTGGCTACTTGGAAGGCTGAGGCGGAAGGATCGCCAGAGCGCAGCAGGTCGAGGCTGTGGTGGCTGGGAGCGGCCACTGCACTTCAGTCTGGGCGACAGAGTGAGACTCCAACTCAAAAAAAAAGAAAAAGAAAAAGCAAGTGCTAGATTCCTAGACATTGGGCATTTTCATTTTAGTCAGTGAAATCATAGCTTCAGAGACTTCACGGAGCTTCCTGTGGTACCCAGAGAAGCCCGAGGAGTGCCAGGCATACAGGCCCCACCTCAACCCCTAGAAAAGATGCTCACTCCAAAGGCCTCTTGTTAGGGGTGGGGGCATAGTGGAGGGCAGGTGTGGAGTGAAGGGAGGGGAGGAGTGGAGAGAGAAGGTGGAGAGAAGGGGCAAAGTGAAGGGTGGGGTAGAGTGAGGGAAGAACCTGGGGCAGAGCCTGATGAACTCCTGGACAGGAAGCATGACCATGGCAACCCTGAGCTGCCTATGGAAGGTTCCAGTCTGTTGCTGGCCTGTGAGAAATCATACTTCTATTAGGTAGTTAGGCAGACATGAGCAGGGGACAAAGAGGGAAAGGAATAAAAAACGGGAAGCCAGCTGATATTTAGTTATTTACTTGTTTTGGAAATTTTCTTTCATGATGAGCTGGGCTGAATGTGAAAGCTGCTTGGATTTAAAGAGTACATCTTTCATTTTTTGTCCTTAAGAATGTAGACATTCTTCCCTCTTCTTCAGTATAAACTGTTAACGAGGCTGACCTTATTTAGTGAATTACTGCTAATGTTTGAAAGAGGACAACCATAAAGGGGGAAATCAAGTCTGAGAGGAACTAATTTATCCAGACCAGACATTAAGACAAAACTAAGACAAAAGTATTCAAACCAAGGAAATAACCGGGCTATCTCACTCTCTGAATCAACTGAGCTTCTTGATTCTTAAGAATGTACTAAGGCAACCCCTTCAGGTCCCTCCCACTGTGGGAGCTTTTCTGTCCTCTCAAAAAAAAAAAAAAAAAGAATGTACTAGCTTATTCTGCTCTGCTTTACCTGCTTGCAATAAAACACTGCCTTGCTGTCCTGAGTCTGGTGTCTTGTCCAATTCTTTGTTTACAAATAAACAAAGAAACCCAAACCAGCATTTCTGCTGACATTTTCCTGATAACCACCAAGGGACCCCCTTGGGACATCTGGGGTAAGTTAATGTTTTTACCTTCAGGTTGGAAGACAGTTTTATGTTGTGTATATGTGTGAGTGTTTGTGGCAAAACCCCGTAGAAAGGGAGTCCCTCTTCCCCATGAACTTAGGCTGTAGTCCAGGTTGAAAAGAGGCATTCTTCCCCTCAGTGTGCGAAAACAGGCACTCAGGTGACAGAGTCTTGCAAAGGTGTTAGAAAAATTGTCTTCATGACATACAATGGTCTCATAGGGAACTCCACACGCATCTTGTCTGGGAGCCATGTCTTGTTTGGGGTCACAAATAAGGACTGGTCATCCAGCACTCCAGGGCCCCCTGATTGCCCTTGGCATTCACTGGGAAAACTGAGACACGTAAGGGGAAGAGAGATGACTGTTGGTGTCATGGCCAACGGGAGCTCTCTCCACAGGCAACACACTCTCGACCCACCACAGTCTTCCAGGTCCCAGAGTCAGACTCAGCCACCAATCTCTTGCTGTCGCTTCTTCTCTTTCAGAAGTCAGTCTTCCATTTTGTGTCTGCATTAGTTTCTCCTCTCAACCTTTTGTTCCTCATTCAGTCACCTCTATTTTGTTGTTCTGTCGGTGCTAAGATGGGTGCTGCATTTGTTATTTCATTCCTTGGGTGTTTAATTCCTTTCCAAGGTGCCCTTATAAGTTTCCCTGTCATTGTTTGTATTATTTAACACGGTCTTTTGAGCACATTCTAAGGAGTCCTACTCATTATTTATTCTGGTGGGCTCTATGCCATCAGGGAAACCCATCTTGAGGACTTTTTTAAAAAAATTTTTGCCCAGAATTTCATTTCTATTTGGTATTTAATTGGGCTTTAAAATTCACATTTTGTCCCCTTATTACTTAAAAGAAGTGTGTCCCTCAAAGGCCAGTCACAGTTTGGAACTTTAGTTTCCTCTTGGGAGGAGGCGACTCTCTTTGTTCAGTTATTAGTCTTATTTTTGCCTTCCTTTGAGTCTAAAGTCTTCTTCCCTAATATTTACAACAAAGATCATCTGCCCTAAGACTGTCTGCTGTCATTGCCACTTTTAAAATTAACCCTGAAATTAGGATCATTTCCTAGATTTTAGTCACCATTGATCTCTCTCTTGCCTGTTCTTCCATTTCTTCTGTTTCTGTTCATCAGAAATATGGTCTGAGGATTTTGAGTTCACCTTAATGCTCTACCAACCTTTCAGTCTATAACCCTCCAACAGCATACTCTTTTGGATTTATAAGTTTTATTGTGCCACTCCACAGACCAGGGCACAGAGTCTCACCCTCAAGACGTTGGCTGCAATATCTATTCTTAAATTTCTAATTAGCTTTGGGATGAAGGTAGACAATGAGAGAAGAACCCAGAATCTTGGCAGGTGGCTGAAAGGGTGATGTCAAAACAGAGTGGCTTAGCTAAAGAACAGTTATTTTAACATTACTTAAGCTTTGTCACACTTTGCTGTCTGTTACAGTCCCCACTTCCTAATCGTTAGCCAAGGACAGAACCAGTTTTCTGGAGGTAGCTGTTGACAATTACTTTACATCTCCCAAGTGTGCCTTGCACTAATTATTCCTCTATTCTAGGCCTTTGTTCACCAGCTATACAAGACCAAGCTGACCTGATCTAATTGTAATCAGCCTTTCCTGACTGCCCACCAACCCATCAGAGGCTGAAGCCCTGGAGTCACAGGACTGGTTGCCCTGATAACACCATGGACATGCTCATGCTACCATTTGGAAGAAAAAAAAAAAAAGGTTCCTAACGGCTAAAACCAGCCCAGTAAATATGGAAAACAAATCTTAAAATTACTTCAAACAGTCTCCCTTCCTAAAGAAATTAAGGTAATACATTGCAGGGGTCATCAAAAGGTGATGCCAATGTAATAATAATAAAAAAATAAAATGGCTGGCAAACTAGCAAAGTTAGGAGCAAATAAATAGGTACCTCTTGTGGGGACATTAATCCCCATGACTTCAATAAAACCCTACCTACCTCAGTAGAGTGAGGAGGAGATTACTTGGACAAAACAAAAGGGGTACAAGAAATATCTCCTTGGATGATTCATCCTGGGCTGTGTTTTATACACCTTCCCCAAGTATCCAGTGGAAGGTTATTAAAAGACTACATAACTCTTAAAATTTAGGATGAGACAAGCTTACTCAGATATATGCCTGTTTTTGGAAAAAAGATTACAAAACCATCTGGCAGGTTTGCCAATGATGTCAACTTTGCAACATAAATAACCACAAGGAGTCAAGCAGGCCTCTACACATCAAGTATACTCAGAAATGAGGCGTATACCCTGGAGAAAATTGACAGTTGGATTTTACCTGAATGCTCCAGTCTCCAGGTGCAACTATCGCACCCTAATTGATACCTTCACTGGGTTGCTTGAAGCATTCCCTACAAGATCTGAAAAAGCGACTAAAGTTATAAAAATCTTACTAAGGAGGCCGGGTTCGGTGGCTCAGCCTGTAATCCCGTGCCTTTGGGAGGCTGAGGTGAGTGGATTGCCTGAGCCCGCGGGTTCGAGACCTGCCTGGGCAGCGAGACCTCATCTCTACAATAAATCAAAAAATCAGCCGGGCGGGGTAGTGCATGCTATTAGGAAGGCTGAGGCGGAAGGATCGCCAGAGCCCAGCAGGTGAGGCTGCGGTGGCCGGGAGCAGCCACTGCACTCCAGTCTGGGGGACAGAGTGAGACTCCAACTCAGAAAAAAAAAAAAATCTTACTAAGGGAAATTATTCCCTATTTTGCCCTACCATGCTCCTTACAAAGTGACAATAATCCTTCATTTCAACTCTATCTCAAAAAGTGAGCTAAGCATTCAAAATAAAATGGTATTTATGCTCAGCTCAAAAACCTCAATCTTCAGAATGTAGAGAGGGCTAATTAACACCTTAAGAAACTTTAGCAAAATTATGCCAAGAAAACAACCAAAACTGGTTACAGCTTTTACCTATTGCCCTCATGTGGGTCTGAATGGCCACACCTTCACAAACAGGACTAAGCCCTTTTAAATGCCTTTATGACTGATCTTCTTCTGGACGAGGAGTCAGAAAACCTAATAAAATGTAACTTCTTTAGCTAAGTTTCAGGAGGCCATACGAAATACCTGACTCAAAGGCCTTTAACTATCTTTTTAAAATAATTTTTAAAATAACTTTTTAATTTTAAAGATGTGAGGTAGAATTCAGGATTAGGTATACAAATGTTCATTATGCAGGTACTCTTGTTGATGAGGTGTGTCCCCACCCTTCCCCGGCAGATTCCCACTACTGCCAATGATCTTCAACTATTAATCAGTCAATATATGAACGTGTCAGTCAGGACCTATTTAAAACATGGAAAGATGGACCCCCTGCATCACAACTGGAGTCTGTTTGGAAAGTACCTTACTCAGTAATTTTGTCTACTCCCATAGCAGTCAAGGTCCCAGTTATCAGTAGCTAACTACATCACACCAGGGTGAAGCCTTTTTGATCTGCAGGGATTTAAAGAAAACAGGAATTCCAGGAACATATACCTATTAGATAAACTGCTAAGACACTTGAAAATCTTAAGTTTTTATTCAAAAGAAAAGTAATGCTTTGTTAGATTACTGTTATTACTGATATATTTGTTTCTTTAGGTTTGTATATATAATTATCTCTCTTCTCTGCTGGTATGGCAGAGAGGGGCTAAAAAGAGTTAAAATTATTCTTTTTAAAAATCAACCTGCAAGCTACAAATCTGATAGACATGGTATGTGAAAAAAACCAGACAGCCACAAGCCACTTTCCTGTAAGTGCAAGATAGTAATCAGTTTACAACCTTATGCCCACATCCTTTCTTTGTGAGGTTATCGGTTCATGACTCCTGCTTGTTATGTATATCCTGTAAACAACTTATTCTTTGAAGGTCTGTTTCTACTGATTACAACTTTGAAAATTCCGAAAATATATATTATCATGAAACTCAATCCCCTCCCTTACCTAAACTAACATATAAAACCCTTCTCTTCTTTCTCCAGGTTGCTCAGCCTTGGAGCATTAGCTTGCTGAGTTGCACCGGTGCCAATAAACATTGCTTCCTGAAATAGTCTCAGTGTCACGGTCTCTGTTTTCTTGCAACACAGGGAGAAATAATTTCTATTTAAATGCTTTTCTTTTTTGCCACAAATTTTTGGGAAGAATTGTTTAAGTTCAGTATGTAAAAGATTATTTATATTGGTTAACTCTGTGCTGGTCTGTTCTAGTAATCATTTACCAACTGATAGTTCCCTTCCAACTTTTATTGTTTATTGCTCTCTCTCTACTCCAAGCTTTTAATTCTTTTAACCTAGAATGTTGGTTTTGTTTACTTTTTGGTCCTAATTGAACTGTATAGGACTTTCCAGCCGCTGCTGGAAAATGAATTATTTTAACTACTTCTATACACCCACATGTTCAATTTAACCCACATTTAACAGGGATGATACATCCTACCAATAATGTAATGAAATAATATGCCAATAAATTCAAGTACCTTCAAAGAGGAACTTCCATTACTGAAGATGTTTTCTTAGGCACAAAATTGTACTCTCAAGCTATTATTTGCATTAAATCAGAGAAGCCAACTCAAGAATCCTTCATACCAGTGGGAAATATCACCCACTGTAAGTTCACTTACACCCCTCAAACAATAACAGGGGATACACAAGCATGCCTCATACACAGTTCTGGAATACTTTGAGATGTAATACATAACTTAAATCCAGGCTTACAGACAAAACAAACAAAAACAAGAATTAAATAGTTGGTTTTCAAGGAAAAGCTTTTGGAGCTGGATGACATGGCTATCGCCCCTTATAGGTCTTTATTTATTTATTTATTTATTTGAGCTGGAGTCTTACTCTGGCGCCCAGGCTGGAGTGCAGTGGCACGCTCACAGCCACTGCAGCCTCGACCTGCTGGCTCAGGTAATCCTTCCACCTCAGTCTTCCAAGTAGCTGGAACAACAGTAGTGCCACCACATCTAGCTACTTTTCTGATTTATTGTAGAGATGAGGCCTCACCAAGTTGCATAGGTTGGTCTTAAACCCCTAGGCTCAGACAGTTCTCTAGCCTCGGCCTCCCAAAGTGCTGGGATTACAGGCTTGAGCCACCGCCCCTTGCCTAATAGTTCTTTTAATTGGTTTTCTCCTCTTACTACTTTTCAGACCTTGTCTTTTAAATCTGCTAACCAAATTCATCTCTCATCAGGTAGGAAAAAACTCAGCTTCAAATGGTCATGGTGCAAGGATACCAACAATACCACACCAACCAGTCTCCAACAGCCTTTTAAATGAGGCAGGAAAGCATGTTCAAAGCCTTTCCCCCCAAAGGTTTATCTGACAGCAAACAATCTTGGTCATTTCAACTTTATGTCCCTTTTCAGCAGGAAAAAAGTTACAGAAAACAGACCTTCACTCCTCAGCTTCCAAAAGATTTCGGCCAAAATTACTTGAGGGGGGAAAATATTATATAGTTAGGCAGACATGAGCTGAAGATAAAGAAAGAAAAGGGTAAGATATGGGAACACCAGGCATGGTGGCTCACTCCTGCAATCCCAGCACTTTGGGAGGCTGATGTGAGAGGATTGCCTGTGGTCAAGTGCATGCATCCCTCCTCTGTCCCTCAGTATTTTCATCCTACTCCTTTCTCTCCTCTTTAGGTTCCCATTTCTGATTACACTTCCTCATAGAACTTTTATAAGGATGTTGTAACATGAGAGTCCATCTTAAAAGGGGCATTTGTGGAGAGAGGAGTATTGTGATCTCTCTTCAGAAGCACTGCTGTTGGATGTGTGGGCTCTAAGTCCCCAATTGACTGTCTCAGAAGGTTGGTCCTGATGCCACCACGGGACCAACCTGTTTACAGAGCTGGTTGCTCCTGTGGTTTGGAGTCTTGCTTAGATTTTGTGGCTCTGACTTTCCCCTGCTCACTCCAATCTCTGTAGTATTTCCAGGTTTGTTCCAGTTTCCTGGGAGCCAGCTACGTAACTCTATTTCAGACAGTCTTTAAGGATTCCACCCTCACTACCTAAGTTACTGTACAATGCCCACATTACTTATCTTGCAGGCCAATGTTCATCTTTTCCAGTGGTGCTGAGAAGAATTCTAATTTCTTGTAGATCTCATTCTGATGCTACTGGGTTGTTTGTGAAGCTGGGCATCTTATCTCTGGTCTCAAGTACATTATTTCTTTTGTGGACTTTGACATTTGATAATATTTTGTTAATAATATGGACACTTGCAGTAAGAGGCACTTTTAAATATTTCAGTGAATTTAACTCTCCCAACAACTTGATGAAATAGGCCTGTGATCCCCATGTTACAGGCGAGGAAAGTGGCACTTGGACAGGTTGAGTAGCTTTATTAATGTCACACAAATTTTTATGATGCATAAAAATCTTGACTTCAAATCTTAACCTTGAAGACTTCCTTTAAGATGTGCACACTTATTTTATATTCTACTTTGTGTCTCGCTGTGTACATCCCCAATGGTACATGTCTCGATCTTGGTCCATTTTCTACTTGATGATAGAGAATTGCACAAATAGGTTGGGGAGAGAACTAGCTGACACCTGGACTTCCCTGTCCTCTGCCTTACCCTTGGCTGGGGTTAGGTTTTCTGAGTGAGCTGGAGCAGAGGTAGATCCTGACCACTTCTCACCTGGCACATTTACTATCATTTACAGATAATCCTCAATTTTGCAGCTGTACTTTCTTAATTATTCTTTCTAGCTTTCTCTTACAGGTTTGTGTTGTATACTAATATACAATGCAAATACTGATTAAAAATAAAACTGTTTTCCTCCTACCAAAAGGTAATAACACTAATTTTTTCTTTTTCTAATTATAAAAGAAATACATGCTCTAAACAATAGCCAAATTATACAGATCTCTATGAAATGAAAGTCTTTTCTTGCATTCCTTCCCTACAAACTCATTTTCCTCTTAGAAGGAATTCCTTTTTAGAGTCAGAGTCTCACTCTGTCACCCGGGCTGGAGTGCAGTGGTCCACTCATGGCCATGGCAGCCTTGACCTGCTGGGCTCAGGTGATCCTTTCACCTCTGCCTTCTAAGTAGCTGGAACTACAGGCATGCACCATCACACCCGGGAAGGAATTATTGCTAGCAGGTTTGTATTTACTCTTCTGGATCTTTTAAATACATTTATAAATATATATAACGTTTTTTGAAACATGAATTATATCATACATTTTTCGTTTTGCTATTTCTCAGATTATATATTACTGACATATTTCCATATCACTGCGCATAATTCTAATTTACTATTTTTAATTTCTTAAGTGTACTCTAAAGAATGGGTACATTCAATTCTTATTCTATTACTTGTTCAATGATTCATTCTTTGATAGAAATTTAAATTATTTTTAGTTTATTATAAAAATGTTGCAGTAAGATCCTTGTTCATAATTTTTTATACTAATATCTAACTGTTCAACTTGCCTTGCCTTCAATATGTCATGTTTTTAACATTTATTTTGTGAGAATTATTATTTGATTCATAGCCAAATTAATTTTATCACTGGATAAGGACACATGATGAAACTGAATTCAAGGTTATTCACCTTAGTATTCTAGCAGAAAAGCATACAATCTAGAAAGTATTTCTTGCTCCGCTAGATTTGACATGCCAGTATATTCATAGAGATTTAATTTAAATATATGATTTGCTTCTACCCTATTTGTTCAAAAAAGTATGACTTTATTCTATCTTTAAAAATTCCGACTCCAGGGACAATAGATTAGGCATCAGGGAGAATAGAATAATGCTGTTTTGTCATTTTCTATTCAGCTGTAGGCTGTATCTAATATAGATCATAGAGTTTAATGTGTTCTGATAGATGGATAGATAGAACCAAAAATTGAAAGTAATCAAGATAAACATCTACAACTATGATTCTTAAAAATTTCCTTAGATTTCCCCATGTCTTTATGATTTCTAGTTGAAATTCACCCTTGGGTGAAGATATGTTTAATAAAATCATGTTAGTGATTTCCAAGTCAATATGGAAGAGGCATACTGCTTTTGTAGTTTTCTTTTGTTGTACTGCCATTCTCTGATTGCATTTAAAGGGAATACCAGTTTCCTAAAATGCATTGGAAAGTGTTCTTCTTCTACTATCTGGATGATATTGAGTAGAAATGATGTTCATTCTTTTTTAAACACTGGATTAGCCGGGCTCGGTGGCTCAGCCTGTAATCCTGTGCCTTTGGGAGGCTGAGGTGAGTGGATTGCCTAAGCCCATGGGTTCGAGACACACCTGGGCAGCGAGACCTCATCTCTACAATAAATCAAAAAATCAGCCGGGCGTGGTAGCGCATGCCTGCAGTCCAGCTACTTGGAAGGCTGAGGTGGAAGGATGCCGGAGCCCAGCAGATCGAGGCTGCGGTGGCCGGGAGTGGTCACTGCACTCCAGTCTGGGTGACAGAGTGAGACTCCAACTCAAAAAAACAAAACAAAACAAACAAACAAAAAAAACACTGGATAGAAAACTTAGTAAAACTATTTGAGCCTGGATTTTTATTTTTTAGATTTAAAATTATGATTTCTGCTTCTTTCATAATATGGGGCTATCAAAAAATATTAGTGTCTCATTGGGTGATTGTGGTCATTTTTTTTTTTTTTTTTTTAGGAATTTGTTCATTTAACTTAAGCTGTTACATTTTATATGTATATAGTTGTTTATAGTATGTCCTTTTGTTATGACCTGAGTTGTGTCTCTGCAAAATCATATACTGAAATCCTAATCCTCATTATGACTGTAGGTGGAGATGTGGCTTTTAAACAGGTAATTAATGTTAAATGGGGTCATAAAGTGAAGGCCAAAATCCAATATGACTATTTTCATGATAAAGAGACAGGCACCAGGGTGGGCCACTGTCAGAGAAAACACCATGTGAGGACTCAACCAGAGGGCAGTCACATGCAAGTCAAGGAGAGCGGCCTTAGGGAAAACCAGCTATCCTGGGTCCTTGATGTGTTGGACTTCCAGCCTCCAGAACTGTGGGAAAAAATTTTTTTTCGTTAAGGCACCCAGACTCTGGTATTT